GCGTCTGCCTTCGGCTCAGGTCATGATCCCAGAGTCCTGGGATCGAGTCCCACATCGGGCTCCCTGCTCAGTGGGAAGCCTGCTTCTCCCTCTCCTACTTCCCCTGCTTGTGCTCCTGCTCTTGCTAGCTCTCTCTCAAATAAATAAATAAAATCTTTAAAAAACAACAACAACAACAAAAAAACGCTATGCTAAGTGAAAGAAGCCAGACACAAAAGTCCACAACACTGTGATTCCATTCATGTGAAATGTCTAGAACAGGCAGATCCAGGGAAGGAGAATGCTCAGTGTCTGCAGAAGGTCCAGGGTGTCTGTCTGGAGAGACGGAAATGGTCTGGAATTTGATAGTGGGGATGGTTGCACAGCTTTGTGAATCTAAAAACCACTGAGTTGCACAGTTTGAAATGATTAATTTTATGATATGTAAATTGAATCTCGATTTAATTAAAAACAACAACAACAGTTTTCTAAGTATCAAGCCCAGTGTTCCACATGAGCTAGACCACAGCAGCTCTTCCTTCAGGCACTCGACACAGCAGGGGTCATTCAGGTGCTCCCTCACTCCCGCGTCCCTATTTGAATAGAAATAAAATTAAATCATGGACTAGGAGTCAGAATTATAAATCGTACTCCTAAATTGGAAGTGACCACGGGCAGGATGCTGCTACCCTTATTCTGTGGCCAGAGATAAGGATGGTAGTACCTGCCTGTGTCAGGGCTTACCAGATTGACAGGTTCCTGATAAGTCATAAGCTTCCTGAGGGCCAGTGTTCTGACAGTTTTCCCCAGCATCTTGCACCTGTAGAAGTTTAATAAATATGTATTAAATGAATGTTGATTTAAATACATCAAGTCATAAGAGTGCTTTCTAACACACGGTCCTGCACGCCCGCGCTCTCCGCAGCATGTTGCGCGCCGCTGCGCTCGCCGCCGCTGGCCTCGGGTCCCGCCTGGGCCGCCGTCTCCTGTCGGCCGCCGCCACCCCGGCGGTGCCGGCCCCCAACCAGCAGCCTGAAGTCTCCTACAACCAGGTGAGGCCGCCGGCCCCGGGGCTTTGTTCTCTCGGGGAAAAGGAGCCCGCCGGGTGGGAAGGCCTTGGGTCTCTTTGGGCCCCAGTTTACCCACCTGGGGCTCGAGAGGTTTGCTGCATTCGGGCTTTACGCACACCTTACCTTCCTTCCCGCGAGCATTTTGGCCCCTTCACCGCCGCTGACAACCCCTGTTCCATTCTCCGGCTGTGACTTGGGCCGCTTATTTGTTCTCGTCCGGCCGCCGTCCGTTTTCCTGCGCCAGCTCTCGGGGTTCCATTCTCCGCCCCTCGGCCTCTTAGTCACCGCAGTGTCTGCAGAGGGCTTTCACTATCACCCACCCAGACGAGATTTCCAACAGAGTCCGGCTTAGCGGGACCTTTTCTGTCTTTTCCTTAGTCATTTCTTATCCCTTCATTCTTGCCCACGTCCAAGGAAGTCCAAAAGGAAAAACAAGAAAAGGAGGGGGCCTTCTCAGCTGAAGTTCACCCATTCGCTAAGGAAAAGGCCAAGGCCCCTCGGCCGGGAGCGCCCACGTCCACTGCTGGGAATGGGGAAAGGGTGCGGGACCTTCCGCCTCCGGGGCGCCATCCGCAAATGGTGTCCGCGCCCTCCAAGGACCAGGTTTTCTTCCAGCAAACCAAGGAGGGGCTTTCCAGGATCACACCGATTCCCAGAGGCCAATTTCTTGCTCAAGCAGGACTTTGGAATAGTCTCTCTTTTGATCTTTGAGTTTGGGTAAGGCGCTGGAATTCACAGAGAAGGAAATCGTTGTGAAAAGAGTTCGTTTTGTATGTGCAACAAATTGCCCTTCTGTGAGCTTCCCATTTCTTCTGTAAAGTGGGAAGTGGGTGAGTCAGCACGGGGCCTGGTACATTTGGTGAGCACTTACAGCAATAACAGCTATTCTCTGTGCACCTGGCACCATTCTGTTTTGTTGTTTCATCCTTAAAACAGCCCAGTGAGGTGGGCACTGTGATCATCTCCATCATTATAGATGAACAGCCTGAGTTACAGAGAGGTTTCGTGAGTTGCCCAAAGATTGAAGCCAGTAGCAAAGTTGGGATTCACATCTAGACTCCCAAAAGAAAGCCTCTAATCAGAACATTCTGTGCTACTATTGATGCAACTCGGGGTTGGAATAGAGGGGTCACTGTTGATTTAGGATGCCATAGAGCTGATCCCTGGCCGACTACTTTCAACAGTGGACCTGCTTGTCTGGCCCAGAGCTGGGCTGCAAAGGTGCACACAGGTGGTGGGTAAAGGCACATCTGTGTGATTGTAAGGAGTTACAAATGGTCATTTGCGAGGGAATAAAAACAAAAGATAAAATTTCCTTTGGGTAACACAAGCCCCAAATGCAGCAGTTGTTGTTCTTTTGGTAGGCTGCTTAATGAGTTCATGCTTGGAAGACTTGAACATCAGAAAAATCACACGGAAATATCCTTAAGGGAAAGGTGTCAGCACCCCAAGCCTTTGTGGACACAAGATGTAATTAAGATCTTTCTCCTTTGTGGTCACATGGAAGTGAGGAAATGGCAGCCAAACGTTAAGTGTCTTGTAGATAGCGTGAGTCCTGCTCTCCAGACTTAGTCTGGGGATGTGAGTTGGAGAGGAGTGCAGTGTCCCTGCAGCTTCTTTCCTTTATCACATTTTTTGAGATCATAAAAGTAACAGTTGCTCACTGTAAAAATACAGAGTACTGTAAAACTGCCCCCCATCCCCCATTGCACTACCTCCAAGAGCACTGTTAACAGGGAGGTCCGTAATCTTGCATTTTCTGTGTGTCTGTGTGTGTGTGTGTGTGTGTGCACGCGCGCGCGTGCACGCGCACGCAAGCATGCACCAGATTTTTTTTTTTTGCATAAATGCGATACTAGCACTTACTGTTTGAAACACTGTCTCATTGAACAATGTATGTGAGTTACCTTTCTCAGTCAGTACATTCATATCTTTTTTATTCTTCCCAAGGTTGCAATGCATCGCACCATGTTGGAACTGACACTTCTTAAAGTTCCTTGGGCTGTTTTCAGTGTTGCTTTGTTGTTAACCCTGCTGGCAAGCATGCCAAAGCCTAATCTGAATATTTTGAGTCTCTAGGAGCCAAGGGCTCTAGGAACAAACTAGATCATATTCCTGGACATTTCCTGGGGTGTTACTGGGTCCTTGAAGTTCAATGAACATTCTGGAGTTGAGCTTCCCCAAAACGAGCTCTTCCAATAGGCTTTGAAGTTGCTTCTGCAGGCTAGGTTTTCTTGCCAAGGGCATTTGCCGGTGTGTGTGGGCTTTTGGGGAACGTCACACTTCAGACTTGTTGGGTCTCACCTGGATGGGTGGGAGGGGTGCAGACAACAGGTCTTCTCCTTCCTACCTCCTTCTCTCAATCCAAAAGAGGTTGAGGGGGCTGGTTTGGTCCACCTTCCTGGGGTCCTCTTGCCTCTACTTGTCTTGGGTGAGGCCGCAGGGTGGAGTAAACTTATTGGATGGGTTAGTTAGATTTCAGGACATGTTCTTCTCCCCCCACTCAAAAGCAGGGACCTGTAGGGGGAGCTGATGATGGCCAAGCTTCTTGAAGATCAACATTTCTTATCCTTGGCGATTTCAGGGCCACATCTCTGTCAACAAACTGATTTTCATTTTTCATTCTGTTTTTCTTTCCTGACTTGGAGAGTAATTAAGATCTAGAAAGACAACCCAAAGGAAAACCCAAGGGACTGTGGCTTCAGCAAAGTAACCTCTCTGGATGAATGTGACTAATACTTTCATCTGCAGCATCACCAATTCATGTTGGTTGATAATAAATACCCCGAGTTAAGCTTTGCAGATTTTATTTTATTTTATTTTTTAAAGATTTTATTTATTTATTTATTTTTTTTTAAATGTTTTAT